TTTGCCTTCGAGGTTGGTTTTCGGTTCGCGTTTTCCCCATTTATAATAAAATTACAAATATATATAAATCCAGGCTTATATATATATATATATATATATATATATATATATATATATTATGAAGCTTATGTCTTGTCGTGCACGGCTTGCACATTTCCTTGACAATGTTTTTATTAAGTGTATGTCTAACCTCAAGTTATTTGTTTCAAACTGAAAGCAACTACTATCTTTGGAAAGAGAACAATAATTATTTTCAGAACTTGTTTTCTCGCTTCAAAAAATTCTTGCCCTAAATTTTAGTTTTTATTTCACCGAAGATGATACAGAAAATTTAATACTGAAAAATAATTCTTAAAAACTAAAATAATTCAGTTTTCTTTTAAGAATTCCGGTTCAAAAATAGTTTTTTCATTTAAAATACCAAAAAAATCATTTTAAAAACTAAATTTTAACTTCAACATATCCAAAAAAGTATTTATGTAAATATTTATCAGATTCAAGAGAAATTTTATTTACAAGGCAAACCAAAATTATTAATCAAGAACTTCTTGTCTTTAATTCTACTTTTTATTTCACGGAATCTGATACAAAAAATTCAATACTGAAAAATAATTCTTAAAAACTAAAATGATTTCGTTTTCTTTTAAGAATTTTGGATTTTTGGTTCAAAAAGTAGTTTTATCATTTAAAATACCAAAAAAATCATTTTAAAAACTAAATTTTAACTTCAACATATCCGAAAAAGTATTCAAGACTTTTTTTATGGAATAGAAAGTATCAGAAATCGGATAATTTTTTGTTTTCAACGGGATTCTAGAAACAAGTCGGTAAAATCTAGAACCGACGTTGTATCTTGATCCTCGAGGAAGAAATTCTTGAGCGAAATATCGGTGTATCTTGTTTAAAAAAATTAAAGTGCTTCGTTAGAGTTGAATTATTCTGGAGAACTTTCTGCTGATCCTCGAGATTTGATTTATTGATTCGCGATTTAACTTATTTAATCAAGAGAACTGAATATCTTGACGAGTAAAATTTTGAAGAAAACATGTTTGATCTTGAATCAAGTAGTTTTTTTTTTCAGTGTACAAACTCACTATTTATGACTTATGAAGACTATAAAATTTACGATTAAATTTATTATACAACTAGCATAAAGTTTATATACATTTTTAATTATCATTAAACTATATACTTCTTCAATTGTGGAAAATTAGTACGTTCATTCCTACTCATTCAATAAATTATTGCAGACTTAATAACTATTCATATAGTAAAAATTTCATTACTTTCGGTTTGTAAAAACTGAAGAAAGTTGTAAATTTAACATTTTCCTAATTAATCACTAAGATTGTCATTACAACCTAGAAAACTAAATTAAAAGTAACACAAAGTTTTGCAGAACATGACACTAGATGTCGTTACGATTAATAGTCCGCGGAAACTTGGTACTAACTTGATCATTTAAGTTTTAATGGATATGTTTTATTGCAACAATGAAAACTTTTCCAAAGGTAGAGGTTTCTTGATGACAAAACTTTATCCAAAACTAACCTAAAAATTTGTGATGTAGACAACGTCTCGAATTGATGCGTGAAATGTATCACAATGAAGCCGAGTTATCGCCAACATCCCCGGATTACAACATTGAAAGCATAACAGGCGGTGATCCGTTTTACGACCGATTCCCCTGGTTCCGCATGGTTGGACGCTCATTCGTTTATCTGAGCAATCTTATGTACCCGGTGCCACTCATACATAAAGTCGCCATTGTCAATGAAAAAGGAGATGTTAAAGGTTATCTACGTGTTGCCGTTCAAGCCGTTATTGGTACGTACCATTAACAATTTTCTATTGGGATTCTTTGAATCTGGATTTGTGATCTAAGGTACCGGCGGGTAATAAGGTCTAGCTAAGGAAGATTTTGAAAAAAAATCCAAAATATTGCATTTAATTATCGAAATGTATCATCAATCTTTATTTTAATACATTAGCCATAAAATATAATGAAGTAATGGTAATTTTCACCATAAACAAACACTAATTTGAACTTTTTTAAAAACCTTACGAATAGGCCTTATTTTACTACGGTAGGGTAATATAAGGCCTACGGGTTAAACATACTGGAAATAGTTGGACTATATTTAATAAAATTGGTATTAGAGATCAATCATCAAATTTAGCAACAATACTTTTTAAGATGTAGATAAAATTTAGAACAATGATTTTAAATTACTAAATATAAAATTATAAAAAATGCTGAAAATTAATATGTTCATTCCTGCTCATTTACTAAAATATTATAATCTTGATAATTATTAATTAATCAATTTAAGTGAAGAAAATTCCATCAGAAAAATACTCGCACAAATACTGTCGGATTTTAACCTTAAGTGTTAAGTATTTTATTTTCGTGATGAATTTCTTCTTTTATTGAAATATTTCGTCTGATTATTGTTTTGATTATTGACAATTATCTTTACCAAAAACTTATACACTAAAAAAAAAAATTAACTTGAATTAAGAGAAATATTCTTGAACCAAGAAAATAATTTTTAGTTCAAGAATTTTTCTGCTTAAATCAAGAAGATAAAGTTCTTTAAAATTATTTACTTGATTAAAATTAATTTTTTTTTCTGCAGGGCCGTAAAAGCGAAAAAAATTATCAAATTTCAAGGAATAAATAATTTAATAGTCAATATCAGTCTAGGATATTAAATATAATTTATTGCACGCCTCATAGCGCGAAGCGCGTGAGGTAGTGCTTTACTCCCGACTCGTCAAGGTCAAGCAATTTTGTGATCTTTAAATGCCTCTATTACAACCATATTGCACTTATACAATAATATGAGTTGATTTACATCGAGAAAAAACTTAAATTAAACCATTTCATACTTTTTAAAAATCATTTTATGTTGCTACCTTAAAAAAATAAACGTTTCGAAAAAAATTTTGTATGTACCAACGATTACTCTCAAACAAAATCATATATCGAGACCGGATTTTTTTTATTAGTTCTAAAATTCGATAAACTCGTGCCATATTTCATATCAGTAGCCTAGTTTACGTATTTTTTTTTTTTTAATACATTTTATTAACATTTACTATGATACACATGTCCAAAAACAAAAAAACTTTTCTTATTTTTCTCATGTAAAAACTATGGCGCCTTTTAATCAAGCTAGATTTTTTTAGACTGCTTGCGCGTATGACAAGAAAACCGGGCGCCAATATTAAAGAAGAAATAGAAAATACTCTATAAGAAACAACTTAATTATTTTTTTTTCTTTTAAAACTCAATTACACAATTTATTTTTTGCTTAAAAAATTAATGAGCGTTATGAGGCGTGTACTTTTGGATTTTCCAAACTTTTTATTAATTTATTAAAATTCCAATTACAATAATAAACAATCACATTGTCAAGACCAATAATATTCAATATTTTGATTAAAAATCTACAATGTAATGATTGTAAATAATAATTATTAAGAATCTGAAAAATAAAGACAGCGACATCTCTGTTGTATTTTTTGAACAACTTTTCTTGGAGAGATTTTGTTTGACCAATCCTTGTTCTAGAAGAGGAAAACAGTGAATACTCAAGCGGAGTCCGTCAATCAGCTCGTATATCCTTCAAAGATGACCTGTTCGGCAGTAACAACCAGCGGCACGGCAAGCGAGCCGCGCTCAACAACATGGAGAAGAGCCAGCAGATGATTATGCCTGAAGAAAGAGTGGTGGAGGGCCAGACCGACGGGAAGGAGAACATCAAAGACGAGGAAGAAGTCTGTGATGGTGACAGTGGACGTGGAGATAGCTCCGTTGCCAGCGACATGAAAGAGGAAGAGCTGCCAGATCACCTTCAACCTGGGGTAGAATTCACTTTCCGAGTTACTGTTCTCCAGGCGATGGGAATTTCCACAGAGTACGCGGACATTTTCTGCCAGTTCAACTTCTTGCACCGCCATGATGAAGCTTTCTCTACGGAGCCGGTTAAAAACACTGGAAAAGGAAACCCACCTGGGTTTTATCACGTTCAGAATATTACAGTCACTGTTACTAAGTCATTCCTGGACTATTTGAAGTCTCAGCCGATTGTTTTCGAAGTTTTTGGACACTATCAGCAGCATCCTTTGCACAAAGACGCTAAACTCGACTAGTAAGTTAATTTTTTGTCTATTTTACACATTTTTTAGTTTGTTCATTTAGAAGCATTAGTATAATTAGATTTTTAGAATGACAAAATTTTCACAAGCTAAACAATAAAATTGTTTTAAATTTTTAACAAATTTATTTTTTGTCACAACAATGCCCATTTTTTTCAAAATAAATTTTTTCTCTTCATGTACTTACACTGAAAAAGAAAAATTATTATATTAAGAAAATTTTCTTGATACAAGAAAATATATTCTTGAAAATTTTAAATTTTGTCTCAATAATAATAATAATAATAAAATGAATATTTTTAATGGATTTCTTGTACCAAAAAATTCTTGTTTGTACAATAGGACACTGATAAAAGGATTTAGTACGAAATACTAAACTGATTTAGTAATAAAATTTTTAGTCATTTATTTGGAAGAAAAAATTAATTGAGATATTTTTATCCAGAGACTTTATTGTTTAAGAGATATTATTAACAAAGATAAAATTGAAGAGATATTATTGCTAGAGATAATATCAGGGGTCACCATGATTTAGTAAATATTACTAAATATTTGATAATAAAAGGTTTGTTACTAAATCTTATTAAATAGAACTAAATCCTTCTATCAGTGTATTTTTTTCCGCATATAATAATTGTTAACTTTCTCAAAAGTTAACAATCATTGAACTTAAAATACTTTTCAGTAATAATTAACAGAGAAACATAAAAATTGTGTTCACCTTCCAGCGTTCGACAACCACCAAAACGAATGCTACCACCATCAATTCCAATCAGCCAACCCGTGCGATCCCCTAAATTCGGTTCAGTATTACCATCCCCGTGCTCCTCCCACATTCACGCAAAGTACGACGTCCTGGTCTGGTTTGAAATTTGCGAACTGGCGCCCAACGGCGAGTACGTTCCCTCAGTAGTAGACCACAGCGACGATCTTCCTTGTCGCGGGTTGTTCCTTCTGCACCAGGGTATCCAACGCCGTATCCGGATCACGATTGTCCACGAACACGCCCAGGAACTGCGCTGGAAAGACGTCCGCGAGCTAGTTGTCGGACGAATTCGCAACACTCCGGAGCCCGAGGAAGAAGACAACGACTCATCAGTATTATCCCTGGGACTCTTTCCAGGAGAGTATCTGGAGATTCCTGGAGATGACCGGTGCATGTACCGATTCGAAGCCGCCTGGGACAGCTCTCTCCACAACTCCCCGCTGCTGAACCGCGTGACGTCTTACGGCGAGCAGATTTTCATGACAATCTCCGCGTACTTGGAACTGGAAAACTGCGGAAGACCTGCGATCGTCACCAAGGATCTGAGCATGATAATCTACGGCAGAGACGCCCGTGTTGGCCCGCGTTCGCTCAAGCACCTCTTTAGCGGGAGCTACAGAAACCAGGAGGCGAATCGGCTGAGTGGCGTCTACGAACTCGTGCTCAGGCGTGCCTCCGAAGCTGGAGTCCAACGTCGCCAAAGACGAGTTCTGGACACCAGCTCCACCTATGTTCGTGGGGAGGAGAATCTTCACGGATGGCGGCCTCGTGGTGATAGCTTGATATTCGACCACCAGTGGGAGCTCGAGAAGCTGACGCGTCTTGAAGAGGTTGAGAAAATCCGGCATACTCTGCTGCTCAGGGAGAAACTAGGCATTGACAAAGTTCCCGTTTGTAATAAGACACAGTGTGACTTCACTAAGAGCGAGAAGGTATGGAATTGTTTGGTAGGTTTTTTAATGCACTAATGCGATCATCGATTGTGTTTTCACGTCATTTTTTCATTTATGTACACGGCCAGTGGCTTTTTTATCGACAGTCGGTATCCGGGTTGAACAACAAACATTAATCTGTCTCGTTAGTCCCTTACCCCTGATAGCCACCTCATACTATAAGTTCTTGTAGATAAGTTAGCGACAAGTTAACGCCAAGTCTACAAATGCCCATCCTTATATGCAAGTTGACAATAAGATAGTGCCGATATTTAAAAACAAGTTATCTATAAGCTTGTAATAAACTTGAATAGAAAATTTCGGCAACTTAACGACAATTGTTTCAATACAATTCGTTGTAGTAAAGTTGACCATAACTTTACGATAGCTTGTAAATTAACACTTATTGCCAATCTACTTTTCGTCAAGTTATCTATAATTCGCGGCACTAGGTTATCTGAAATTTATAGTATGAGGTGGCTATTAGGTACCCTAGTAACATTAGTTTTACTAATTGTCACAGAATTGTTGCAAAAGTTGAATTTTGGTAAACTGCTTTGATCAAGAATTGTCCAAATTTTAATCAAAATCATGTTCAAGTATCTTACTAAAGAATCTTGTCTAAATCCAATGCTACTACTCTAGTAGCAATTTGGTACAAGCCTTGTGCCAGCATAGATCAAGATACTTAAAAAAGATTTTAGATCAAGAATTGCTCCAGATTATTGATCAAGACTTGAGCCAGACTGTAGTCAGAATTTAACCAGAAATCTGGGGCCATTTATTGCTAAAGTTTGGGAATATCCTATAGAGTAGAGGTTTTCATTCTATTAAAAAATATTTTACTATTTCTTGCAATAATTCAATTTTTTACATATTGTAGCAAGCTAAATTAATTTATTTAAACTTGTTGACTAGACTATAAGTGAAAACCACTGCAATACTATACTTTTCACATTCAAGTGAAAATTTTTTGCCTTCTCGCGCAAGTCAGGACTCTGGTCAAATTCTGGACACAGACTGTCCCAAGTTTGCCGCCAGCCTGGATAAAGAATCTTGGCCGAGAATTGTCCAATTCTTTACAAAGTGCTTCTCTAAGTATCTTGCCAAAGAATCTTGCCCAATTCCATTGCTACAAATAATCTTCCATTGAAGAACCTTACCTTTGCCGGGATACTGCCTGGCGATTGAAATCAGCCACCTAATCTTTAATATATCCAACTGCAATAAAGCGAGTAATGACGTCAATAGTTTCGAACTTTTAATATCCAGGAAGTCTGCAACATGGTGGCCAAGGCGACCAACGAACCCCACGCGAGCCCGGTGAAGCTAAAGAAATCAATGAGCAAGGACGTGTACGAGCCCTGGGAGATGACTGAGCGCGAAAAGGAAATCGCTACCAAGTACATCAAACTGATTCAGGGCAGGATTCCCAGCAAGGAGCCAATTGTCCTAAGCGACGTGTCTCCTGGAGAAGACACTGCGACCGACATGTCAGCTTCGATGATGTCCTCGGTGATGTCTTCTTCATCCCAAGAGTCAGTAACACATTTGTCTAATAGCTTCGAGATCCAGGTAACACTTGTATGCCTGTAAACGCTTACTAGCGGTTGTCCACGTCACCTTCATCAATTGACGCTTGTTGCTTGATGCGATGCTAGTCATTAATTACAATCCGCGGCTTGCATAATTGAAATTGTTTATTTTGTTTCTGTTTTATTATTTTAACACGAAGGATAACCGCATTAGGTAACGTTTTACGGGTAAAAAACGAGTGTTACTTACAGCCAGCCGGGATTATTGTTCGACGTTCTAAGTCCTGCATATTTAGGTTGAGTTCTCCTGAGCGAGCGAGACTTCACGAGCTACAGGAGAGCATGATGGCCGGAGAATCTGGCCAATCTTCTCTGGCACCGGCTCCATTGGGTTCAACTTCCCCATTGAAGGAGAGCTTGGTGCTGTACGTTCCCGAGGTCGAGGAGATTCGCATTAGCCCGGTGATCGCCCGCAAAGGGTACCTCAATGTCCTGGAGCACAAAACCAATGGATGGAAGAAGCGATGGGTGGTAAGTATTTTCTGTTATTTTCATTGAATTTTTGTTTAGAACTTCAATCTATTGGTTGATTTTTGTTCAGGCTGTTCGCAGACCGTATGTTTTCATATTCAGAGAAGAAAAAGATCCAGTTGAAAGGGCATTGATCAATTTAGCTACGGCACAAGTTGAATACTCCGAAGATCAACTTGCTATGGTTAAAGTACCTAATACATTCAGGTAAGTTATTTTTGTAGATATATACATGATTTATGAACAAATTTCTTCGTTATCTGTTGACGGTCCGAGTCCCGTTATTGATTAGTTATATTGACGGCGCACAGAGCGCTGTGATCTCAAGTACTTGCGACACTAACCTTAAGGAGGTTCCACGGCAAGAAAATACACAAACAGGCTTGCCAGGTGGGGCGATTTATCGCGAATTGGGCGATTTTTTCCATGTATACGCTTCTTTTCTCAAGTTTGGGCGACAAGTCGCAAATTAGGCTCTTTTTATTTTCTGGCGAAATTCCCGAACGAGGAAATTTATTCTAGAAAAGATTAATAACTATTAAAAATTCTTCTGGTGAACTTGCATTTGAAGAAATTTCTAGGTAGTAAAACGAGTATTCTCACGAGTCACTTCAACTAAATCTAAAACCAGGAACCGAATGGGATTAAAGTTATTATAATCTATTATTCGTATAAAAATGCTCTTTAGAAATTAAAGGATGGTAAATGTTGCTTGCAATTTGAACCAAATCATGTTTCAATATAATTCGAGCATATATGATTACAAAATAGGTTATGGCTATTGGTTTCTTTCTCACGTACTAGTGCTGCCTCTCTTTACAGACTATCGCTAATTTACTTCCACTCACGTAAAATATCGAAAGTCGCTAACTTCAAACATTTTTTATAATAAAATGAATACCGCTCGTTTATGTTACTTTTGATAAAAAATACTTATAACTTCAATTAAATATTCAGTTTTTCAAAAAAATCTTAAGAAAAGTATGGTTGTTACACAAGAAAATGTTTACTCTATCTACGGTCAGGATAGGGAATACATGTTAGATGTACGATTTTTAATTGCTAATATTTCGAAAATTAGCACCGCAAGAACTATTAAAAAAAAAATTATTCGTATAGAAGACACTTAAAAGTACGCGTATTCAAAAATTGAAGAATATTGTAAGAAAAGTGATTTTTCACGGAACCTCCTTAAGTGAATTCGATGGTAAAGGAGAGAGAATTTGTCTTTTATTTTTAAACTTATATTTTTATAAAAACGTTAATTTATCTTCATAGTCTGATTGACGCTACCGGGCGGGATATGACGCAATTTACGATTTCTTCGAGTTAAATTCCAACTAAAATTCATCGTATACTTATAGAAGATATAAAAAAAACACTGGTACAAAGAAAAATAACCACAAGCAGATTAAAAACACCCCAGAATCAATTAATTAAGATTTCGTACAAAATAACTATTTTGAAGACCCACTACGTTGATTTCTCAAAAATTAATGAGCTTGTAAACACTGTAACTTTTTAAAATTCCTATTTTTTACCTTTATTTTTTTTTAAATCTTTTCGTAAGATCACTGCGGAGAATCTTTTTGAAAATCTTAGCTCAATATTGTTTTGTTCAATTATAATAAATATATTTCTTCCGGCAGTAAGACCCAACCTTCTACCCCTCGATCAGCCGTGTTTGTTTTTTTAAGAATAAATTTATTTAACGAGGAAGTACAGCTGAGATTATACTTGGACTATTGGATTCTCGAGCGTTGTTCGAAATGACCAGAAGGTGGCGCGGTAGTACACTTCTATCGGAATGTACAGTTTCTCCCAAGCGAGGCGGGCTGTTCAAAACTAGACTTTAAAAACTATAAATTTAAAAAATTCTATTTGTTATGTACTTGGACCCTTAAAAATTTCTTTAACGTTAATAAATTTAATGTTAATTCCCTATTAAATTTTAACTCTCAAAATTTATCTAAATTATTGATACTTTCTTGGACTGCGTCGAAGGTCTAATTTACTTTTTAATTGCCTGAAATTGAATTATAGAGGTTTTCAAAAAAAAATTGATGCTTTTAAATTCAAACTTAGTAGAATTGAACGAAACATGGGAAGAAAAATTAAAGCGAACAGAATAATAAATTTAATTTTATCTCTCTATTAAATTAAAATTCTAACTTTCCTAAATACTTTTTTAGCGTTGTAACAAAACATCGCGGTTACTTACTGCAAACATTGGGCGACAAAGAAGTGTACGATTGGCTGTACGCAATAAACCCTCTTTTAGCCGGACAAATAAGGTCTAAATTAGCACGAAAACTACCAATAATAAATAATCCCGCAATCAATTTATCAACTTCATTAATAACGTCATCTCTAACCTCAACAACAACCACCACCACGACATCTATTTCAGCGTCAACGGATAATCAAGGATATACTAATAATAAGTGAGTCACGGATATTATTAATCAGTACTTACTTATGGTCACTAATAAATCCAAGGATTTAATTAATAAACATAAATTTTTTTTTATCCAACCTACTGATGACTGTAGATTTCGACTAACCATCTTTTTTGACTAATTTTTTAAAGTATAAATATATACATTATTAATTATAAATTATAAATTATTAACTCTCCGAACGTTTTGATAAAAAAGCGTTTTCTTCGGATGAGTAACATAAACATAACCTATATAAATCTTTAAATTTTATTGGATGGATAAAAATAACGCAATAAAAGTGTAAAAATATCTAATCAATTGGATGAAGAAATAAAAAAAAAACTTTCTTTTTAATTTATTATAAATAATTAAAAAAAAATACAAGAGTTTTTTATTGTAGTTGTTATGT